AACACAGGTATGTTAATCAATCCTTTCAAGGCCAAGGCCTTGCTCTGTACACTCAACAATATACATGATGATGAGGCCAAACCTTCACCATCCTTTGATGTACTGCCATACCTCTGAAACAAACACTCAAGTACATGGGAGTAATCTTTGACAGCTAATTCAACTTCACCAGCTACATTAACACCGTAATAATTAGAGTTATCAAATGCTGAAAGTTACAGCAGGAAATATAACTGAAGAACGTCATGTATTCATGCTCTACCAAAGTCTTATCTCTTCCGTTTTGGATTACACAGTACCGATGATCAGTATCGTATCAGTGCTATGCTGGTAGATAAATTTGAAAAGATACAAAACATCTTTTTAAGAATGGTCATGGGATCTACTTTAACCATTTCCATGAAGGCCTATTATGTCTGAAAAACCTCAGCAGCATTGCAGAGCATCAACAGTGATCACAAACAAAATTATTCACAAGAGCCTTGCAGTGTAAATACCATACACTACATCACTGAGTTACTGTCCTTTTCAATTGGAACATTTCAATGTCTCTGCAAACACAAAGTAAACAGTAGATTGTCTAAAAAGAGCCTCAGGATATTGGTGTTATACCACTGAGATAATTCGTCACCACCACATCTCAGTGGAATAAACATATTGCGCCACTCGGACCCGTGTAACTCAACCTGAAGAGAAATGTACGGTTCGGACAGAGGGCAAAGTGTAAAAGCCTGTCAGCACCTCCTTAAAGAACATAGTGGACAGTCATTTGTCGTCATAGCCTCAGATAGCGAGCGAGCGAGCTGGTTGGGCATTCATCGTTTCGTGGAACAACAATACTCTGCATAAGGTTGGTGGAGCACAAGTAACACAATGATGGAGCTGGAAGCCATAAAGCAAGCTCTCTTTTGGACTGTTAAATGCAATTAATCACAAATAGACAGTTTCACTAACATATATTTGCGATTTATTCACAGGCATCTCTACATAAAATTCAGAGCGGCTGGCATTCAGACGAATTGCTTAAAACAAAGTAACTGCATGGTAAAACCATCATCTGGATGTATATGCCAGGCCATGCAGAATTAAAGCTAAACGAAGAAGCTGACATACTTGTAAGAGAAGTCCTACCTATATCAAATCCGGCACAACTTAACTGGTATGATATCAACATCCTCTGCATTACTAAGGAGAAAGTGGCAAACAGGGAAAGATATTCTTATGAGAATAAGGCCGCTTAAAAACATAGTACCGTGTAGTGTAGCGAGGCAAAACAAAAGATAGGTAATTAATAGGATAGTATACAGCCCAATGTTCAATGGTAGCGTCAGTAATGGAAACAGATGGTCTTCACATAAGGACCTTGATATTGTAACAAGGTTTGAACAAGTTTTCAAGTTAAAGCCAAACTAGGATGGAAGCTTAAGTAATCATTCAGGTCATAAAAATATGGGTATAGAGTTCACTAAAATCAAACATTCTGGGAAACAGCCATGTATTTGATATTCAGACGACACTTGTGCATATGCAGAAAGGCAAAATTATTCTTTTTTTTTTTATAAACAACGATTTATTATATATATAATTATAAAAATGAGACTGTTCCCAGTATCAAAATACAATGATATATGGAAAAATTACTGTACAGGATATATAATGCATATATATATACACATAGAACCACGATGAGACTTGAAAGAGTCTCATACACTCGACGTATACTCAGGAGTGCAAAGTTGTGCAAGAATCAGACCTATTTATACAGTTACAACAAAGAACCACCTAGTAGAATTGACATATTTTTATATTACAAAATTTCTTGACATTTGCTAACAACATTTTCATCAGGCCCATCATCCTTATTTAATATTTTAAGCTTATTTTTCTTACATTTAATTATCTCAATAAATTCACGTATATTCATACCAATGACATTTTCAGGTTGCGCTAAAATAAGAATTTTTCCCAACTGAATTGTGTTTCACTAATGCGTTCTACTAATGGGGAAATAACAATATCATTGTTTTCAGTATTTGTTATGTTTTATTCATTCTGTATTTTAAATTTCTTCTAGTTTGTCCAATGTAAACATTTTAATATTCGTATGATATTTTTCTATATATATGCCAAATTTTCTTCATTAAAGCAATTTTATCTTTAATTATATTACGAATTTGGTTAACTTCGTTCAATATCGGAAAAATATTTTGTTGTTTACTATGTTTTTATTGTTTGACAAGATAAACCAGGTATAAATGACAGTATAACATGTTCTTTCTTACTTTTTTTAGCAAGCGGTTTTAAGTTACTATGTTCATATTTGTTTTTTAGTTTTTAACAGCTCTGTCAACAGTATCAGGATTAACATCTTTTTTTACTACTATATACCTAATTAACAATAACTCATTATTATATATATAATCTTGATATCCTATCCACATAAGAATAAAAAAACAGTAGTTCTTTAAGATTTAGTAACACAATTTTTGGTGTGGTGGCATGATCACAGAGAATGGTTTTCGATAAATATCAGTTTCCAATTTTCCCTTATTTTTACGTTCCAAAAGGTAAACAGTCATTTTCCTCAACTTCATATGTAAGTTTGATAGAATTGTCAATGTTTTTAAGGTAATTAACAAAAACAGCTAATTCCTCTTTACCATGCCGCCTTATCAAAAATGTGTCACCAACATACCTCATTCAAACTTCCGAGTTTTTATCCGCTTTATCTAACGCTTAAGTTTCAAAATTGAACATAATGTATAATGTAACAAAATTCATATCGAAAAAATTTCATTTTAAAAGAATAAAGATAAATACACAGTTAAGAATTTTTGTTGGAATTTGTTGAAAGAAAGGTATGTTAAGTGTCTTTTGACATTCTTTCAGTGTTCACCAAAGTATATATGTAAAATGTCATTGCATGTTTTGAGAATAAAAAAAAGAGTATTCAGCTTTAGAAGTAATTGATATGATTAACCTTGTTGAAGGATGTTAAAAACATATTTCTTCACATTAAGATTAAAGTTTATAAATAGAATGAAGGTTTAACTATATCTTTTCCATTATTATGTAACTTATTCACGAACAGTTTTGAATGTATACGTATTTAGACACACACATAATATATATTTACATACCCCCTTCCAGTGTCTCAGCGTTAAGTCTGAGGGCTCATATCGCTGAAAATCGGTTTTTGATACTCTCGGTGGGATCAGCACAGATATCACAGTGTAGCTTTGCGCTTAACAATAAACAAATATACGTAAAGGTATAGATTCCTCCATGTATTATATTTTTCCAGTTGTTAAAAGTTTTGATTGAATTGTTGATTATAGTTACTTTTGTTTTTATTTCGCAAGTTAAGAGATATCTAGGTAGATCATTCCATGCAGCATTATAAGGCGCGGACCAATGTACAGTTTAAGACACGTCGTTACTTTTTACATTTAACCTCAGTAGCTAAATTTTGCTCTTCATCGCATGCTTATGTGTTAACTTCTACCAGTTTGGCAGATCCTACGAATCCATGTTGACGTTCCAGAAGAGAGAATAAACCAGCAACACACGGTTAACCTAAATGTTGTTGATTAGTATATTTTTGTTATTAATGCTTATATACAATGACCATCAGATTTCAATTTCTACAAAACATCGTCCTTCAATTTGAACTGATAGACTAGATGAAAAGTAGCTTGTCAACATCTTCCACCACCAACTCTTGTCTGATCAAATAGTTGGATTTGACTGTCACTCATATAGCGTGCGGCGTTATTTTTTTCGGCAACAGGGCGAGAAATGTGAGCCCTCAGATTCACAGTTCTTGACGCTAAACACTATCCGGTACATTAGGAAAAATGATCAAATATGTCTCATTTACAGTTAATACTGAGTTTAAAGTACACTTTTTCTCCCCCATATACGACGAGAAAGAAAGGTTATAAAAATATCAACTGTTAATATTAATCTCTGCCTACGTAGAAGTCAACTTGGTAATGATTATAGCTAATTAAATATACCTTTTCTTACCTTCTTACTTATAAAGATTAGATTCCATTGTTTTATTAAATAGGTACCTTCGTTCTTACTGTTGAATTAACTTTTAATACTGTATCCACCTACAATTTCTCTTTCGACTGCTCGATTTAACTATAAGTCGAAGCACTAAAGTTTGTATTACGTTTAGTGTTTCATTAAAAAGATACTATCATTTTGGTCTCTTATCAGACATCTGTACACTAAACAAACTTATGAACTGAATAAAACTCTACGTGGCCTTGAAATTATGAGAAATAACAGGACAGCAGGAAAACATTGGATTCATATCACCTCTCTCCTCCCCCAGAGATATTCATGCTACTAAAGTCGGCGAACTTTGAGTTGAACACGTTTCTTAATATCACATTCTTCCATCGTGCTTCTTAAATAACTTAAAATTATCAAGATTACTTTACAAAAATAATAACTATTGTTTCAATCTTAAAAACGAGAAGTCGTCATACTTCGCATTGCCTAAAATATGCGTTCGTATGAGCCATTGAAGGATGTTCTATGAATTGAATCTTGGACCCCAGTTTTCAGTCGGACGTATTCATCGTCTCCTTCGAACTAAATCCATCTATCTATCTACTGGCAGGAATTTCGATTTGAAGACTTCCGAGGAAAACCTCAGAAGACAACCGGAGGCGCTCGGAAACTGTTCTTCTTCTTCTTCACCCCGCTCGAGGTTGTGGTATGGGACATGGTCCAAGCCGATTCGTAGTGGTAGAGATTTTGGGATTTAGAGCAGACACAGAGCTGGGGGCAGGTCGCTCACTGAAACTTTGTACTTGCTCCACCCACCAATGTTTCAAAGTCATGTGTCTTTCTACTCTGTTTGTTCATTGGTTGCATGGAAAAAGTCTGGGGCGGAGAGTACATACTAACCAATAACATGTGCGGGTCGACAACGAGAGGCAGTTGAAATGGCAGCGTTACGTCAATATGTAAGGTGAAAGCGTGGCAGACATTCTAGCGAAAGGGGTGCTCTCTGGAGAAAGTTAACTTAGATTTATTGGTGCTCAGAGCAAAACAAGTCGTCGTTTTAAGTGGAGTGATAGTAGCACAGCGTGATCGTAAGAAGAGAAGATTCTGTTTTCAAAAACGCTCGTTTTTCGGCAAGTTTAATTTCAGCGAAGTAACTGTGTTGTTCAAGTTCTTGATTACATCCAGCAGAAGCACTGGAGTTTCCACGTGCTTCTAGGTTATGTCCAGACAGCACTGACACTATGGTCCTTTATTACGATACTCACTACGCAATGTTTCCAACACCGTCCCATCAGACAACCTTTAACCCATATCCGTACGCATCCAACCCAATGCAACAAGCTCCATTATCACATTATGGGTCTGGTCAACAGGGTTATGATTTGGGATGTCCAGTGTCCGAAACAATGCTCCAACAGGGTTGGCACACTCCGTCCGTCTACCCTGTCTCTAGCACCAACGGCGGCTCGTGTGCTCGTGCAGCTACAAATCCCAACAACTATGAAGACTGGTCTCAGTCCCAAGGTTCGCTCTCAAATCCCAGTCCTTGTTCCAATGTCGGCATGCCGGTCAATTTATCTTCGACCACTGGTCAGCAGTGTAATTTTGGGCTCCCTACTTACAGACAACATGATATTATGACCAATTGCCAAGGAACAATCAGTTTGGCGGATTTGGTCCACCCTCCTGACAATGGAGCAACAACTTCTACGGACGAATCTCCGTCCCCATGCTCCGGAATCAGTAGCGGCCTAGTACCGTCACCAGGTATTCGAAACCAGCCTCGGCCACAACCTGTTCGTAGTCCGTACGAGTGGATGAAGCGGCCATCCTACCAACAGCCAGGCCAGGTGTTGCCAGGTTAGTATAATTATTCTTTAACTTTGTAAGCTTTGTTTGTTTGTTTGTAATTAAGCACAAATCTACACAATGGACTATCTGTGCTCTGCCCAACACGGGTATCGAAACCCGGATTCTAGCGTTGTAAGTCCGTAGACATACTGCTGTGCCACTGGGGGGCAACGTTGTAAGCATGATTTTGTCAAGCCTATATTACATGCAAACACTGTTTGTTGTTTATTTCCCTATTCTTTCATTACTTTGAATTAGATGGAGCTTTTTGTCAAATATAGAACAATATATACATAAAATCATAGAGTTAAGTGTGTGTACCTTTATTAGATAAGTTAAAATAGAATTCGTATTATGTTTCTGTTTTTTGTTTTTTTGGACGGGCGTGGCTGAGTGGTTAGAGCATCCAGACTTTGAACGCTAGGATTCATGGCTTGCGTTCCGTTACTGCTAAAACGCGCTTCGTACAATAGACCGCGTGTGCTTAAAAGAGTAGCCGAAAAGTTGATGGCGATTGGACGCTGTGGATTAATCTGCTTTCCTTCTAGTCTATCACTTCCAGGTTAGAGAGTGCTTTGTGCAGATACATTGCGTAGCTTTGTGCGAAAGTTTTAAAACAACAGCAGCTATAACCTGTTCTTTTTTGTTTTGTTTTTTATCCACAGTCTTTGTTCTTTGAGACTAGTTATAGGTTATTGTATGAGGTTTAGAAGAGCACTGAATTACTTACACCATCTACAATATGTACAATGATGATTTATATATTAATGTTTTATGGAAGCAAAACATTCTGTCATTATAGAGACATTCTAACTCTCTTTTTCATTCTCATGTGAATTCTAGTTGCTACAGATGATGTTGAAAAATTATTTAATTATTTGTTAACTTTTTTTCCTTTTGAGTTAGTACCTTCAATAACTACTGACGAGATGCATTTGATATTGTAGGTATTTAAATCGATTATTGTTTTTTTTAAACAAAGACATATATGGATGTTAAAGATTTTTTTAAAGTGCTATTTCAAGGGGTGGGTAGGGTTGAAATATTAATTTGTAAGATTGTTATGTTTATGGAAATTCTATTATAATGACTTCCTAAGACCTTCAAAACTTCCAGTGTAGTTTAGGTTTTTAAAACAAATATATATATATAATGTTAATCTTCACTGTTTATTATAGACAAGGTAGACTTTCATGGTAATTGTCATACAAATTTTTTACCATTTTCTATGCTCTTTGTAATCTTTCAATTCATATTATCTATTATACATATTCATTCAAAGTATTTTTGCACACATAACAACTTAAGACATATCACTGTATGCTGTTCGCTTCACTTGCTACTATTAAATAAATACAATACAGTGATAATAAAACGTAGTTATTACTTTTACATGGCGGAAGTGAAAATTTTTAGAGCAATCACTTTTTCATGTTCAAAGCTTGTGTATGTAGTTAAAAGCACCAAACACTATGGATTATAAGTTTACACAAACATCCCTTTATCATCAAGCACAATCATGAGCAAATAGTGAAATCTTCACCAATAATTCATAACACATCTACAGTTAAATACTATTATATGAGTCTGATTTTTCTAGTTAATACAATACCGTGCTTTTATGTCAAAAGACACTTAATAATTACATAACTATCTTAACTAATGTTTACCTCAATGCTTGCCCTGTGCACAGAATTACTAAATACTAAATAAAAATATAGAAAAGAGGTAAAAATTCGCCTCTCTCGCCCCATAACGATGCTAAGAAAAACCTCAAAGGTAAAACTGAATTAAACAAATAATAACGCAGACAGTAACGGAAAAGGTAGAATGAACACAAATCAAAACTTTCATACTTACCACAAGCAACGCAACGTTAATATCACAATAAACAACTTGAGATACATAATCTAGATATCTGTTACTTACCACCAACAACACAACGTTAATATCACAATACACAACTTGAGAAATGTAGTCTAGGACTTTACGGTAATACAGAACCAGATCTTTATTCTCATGCTTACTTGAAAACAAGAAAAACAACACTTTACTGGTTAAGTTACAGACTTATATGACAGGCTTAACAGTTCTTTCAAGTTGTGTATTGTGATATTAACGTTGTGTTGCTTGTGGTAAGTATCAAAGAAGGTATATCAACAATATTGGATTATATCTGCTGGCATTGTGCATACGTGGATGACAAGGCAGCCTATACAAATAAAAATCTTCATATTGTATATAATGGACGACAAGCGAACAAAAACAACCAGGCCACAAATTTTCAGCTTAATTCAGAAAAAAATTGTGGTTTGGTTAAACATTTGAGAATTTTTGTTTCACTATTGATACTAAACTTAAATAGTTTAGTCTATAAAATAAAGTTCAAATACCTTTATAAAATGCGCAAGAAATTTCTAAATTTCGGACTGTGAATCTTATAATTATCATTACGACGGCTCTTAATCACAATTAAATGTTAGTACAAAATTTCGATTTACTAATGTAACTCACTAAAAATTCGATTACCATTACTGCACCCCAACTGTATTTTTTTTTTCATTGTGTGCTAACGAGTGAATATGTTAATATTCATTGAAACGCAGATATACACATAAGTACGGTGGTTCTGTGATACATAAATTTACACGGTTTATTTTTCATTGTTTTAGTAATAATCTCATTAAATTGTAACTTTTATTTTAATTCTCCTTTGAATATTTTGACATTTACTTTCATATTTTTATCAATGAGATACTTTCAGAATAATATATTCGTCTGTAATACACTTTGGTGAGCGTAGTTCAATAAAATTTTATTAAATGTCTAAAAAAACACTAGAGGGATTATGTGTTAAATATTTTGTTTTTACGTCTGTTTGATTCCTAGGGTACAGAAATGGCGTGAAGTGAGTACAGTAGGTTGATAGAACTTCCGCAACTATCAATTAATCGTTTGTTTGATATCCTTGATCCTAAAGACTACAGTGATCCTCTAAACATTGAAAATGTATCAGCCTAAACCAAAAATCTGTATTTCACTTTCATTTATACGACTGTCATAAGTCCTCAACAGAACTGGAAACTGAATCTTTAAGAGCGGTGGTAAATTTTTAAAGCTTGACGGAAACGTACTTCTGAATCATCTAACCGTGAGTTATCGGCGTCAGCTGTGTGCTACGTGTGCATTTGTGATTCACGTTAGCTTATAGTGCAAATATTATTTTTCTCAAAGTGTGAAAAGTTTATAAAAACAAAATCTTATAGTTTCTATTGTTTTTGGTACATACCATATAGAAGGGACACGATATACAGAAACTTACAGCTAGAAAACTCATCAATCATTTATTAAACTATGTGGTGTTACCCATGTGCAGAAAATCCATTTTTTCTAATAAAAATAATGTTTAATAACTTATTTGGAAGGCTGTAGACTCTGAAGCATGTAGGTAACTAAACCTTGTAGGCTAGTAAGTAACGGAGAATCAACACTAATCAACATTTTTCTGTTGATACAATTCGTATAGAAGTGCTGTTTTCTTGTATGTTGGTCCCCCGGTTGGAAAGCGGTAAGTATACGGATTTACAGCAGATAGCCCGATATGGCTTTGCTATGAAAAAACAACAACACACACACTTGTATGTTGTATTATAGCTATAATTCACAATTCATGATAACTATTCACTTATAACAAAGCAATTACAACACAAATCTGCTTTTTATGTATGTTATTAAGTTGAAGTGCTTTTATCTATGCAAGAGAACATTTTGTATGTATTGCAGAAACTGACTGAACATGTCAATGTAATATGACTATCACCCTCATATATTTATTTCTTAAATACATGAATGACAAGCTACTTAAACGATTTGGTTAATCAAACTAACTCTCAGTATTTTAATATTGTGGAGGTAAGGTTTTTATAGTAAATGTTTTCAGTTGTTGATGTTGAGGTTATTAAGAAAATCGAGGTTAATCTCTTTATTATAGTAAACTCGTAATTTGATTCATCTTAATAAGGAATATTTGACATAACCCTATCGATACACTAAGGAGTATTGGACTTAAACCTTTCCGTATGCTAAGGAATATTTGACTTAGACCTATCCATATGCTGAGGAATATTTGACTTAGACCTATCCATATGCTAAGGAATATTTGACTTAGACCTATCCATATGCTATGGAATATTTGACTTAGACCTATGGATATACTAAGGAATATTTGACTTAGACCTATCCATATGCTAAGGAATATTTGACTTAGACCTATCCATATGCTAAGGAATATTTGACTTAGACCTATCTATATGCTAAGGAATATTAAACTTAGACCTATCGATTTATGACTGTACCTACTCCTCTGAATATAAAATGTTACTTGAGTCATCGTTAACAGAAATATTAAGGAATCTCAAAAGTAAAAAGATTGTTCTAAAACGAAACTACGGTATTGAGTCATTAAAATTACAATTGCTATGTCAAATATCTAATATTAATAAAACCTAATTTATCAACAGAATGTAAAACTTGTTAAGCGTAGCATAAGTTATTTCGTAATTTTTCTTAACTGCAGCATGTGCTCGATACATGAGCCGTGTCTAAGCGCACGTGTTGTACACAATGTGTAGAATTGTTTTCTTGACGACTAAGTACTTGTATTTATGGCAAAGCTACTAAGTATACCTGCTGCCATCCATAATTTCGAACTATTGACCATAGGTAAGACCGGCAGTCAGCATCACCCTACTTCCCACGATTCACGTTAACGCACTCACAGGTAAAAGTGCGGAGAAGTTTTTGTTGTTTCGCAAGGATTCGAACCCAGTGCCGAAATCCAGAGCTCTACTAGAGGCCAACCCGTAAAGTAAAACTTAACAACAAAACGATATCTCTTTCAACATGATTAAAATATAACATACATGTTTCTTGTTTTAATTATAATAGTACACTAAAAAGAAGGCAGGGAGTCACCAACACCACGAGCTGGAATGACCTTGCAAGTTAGA